TCAGAACTAAATACTGTCAAGAAAATGTAAATAAATTAAAACCCATTTAAAAAATAAAACCCATCAAGTATTAATTCAAATTCAAAACCTTTTAAAAAATTAAATCCATTTAAGAAACATAATGTTAAGATTAAATTGGATAAATTACATTTTAAACTAGATTATAAATTACATTAAACTGGAAAAATCTATTATTGCAGATTAATCTATTATTGCAGATTAATCTATCTATTATTGTAAAACATTTACAAATGATAATATTAAATTTTTTTATAAATAAATCGTAAACTAAAAGCAAATTGAATAATTTAATTCCCAATGGAAGCCAAACAACATATTAAAGAAGTAGGATACCTTTAATGGTTTAGCCAATTTTCTATGAACAACAGATGATTAAAAAAAAAATCAAATAGATCTTTGTGTAAGATCTATGTGTAAAATCAAATAGAGAGAGGAGCACTAAAGATCTTTACAATTTTCTTATTTGTATAATCAATTTTGCTCCCCAAAATTACTATATGTGAGAGAAAGATTTCAGTCAACACTATTACAATGAACACACAACAGGTTCTAATTTCTTATTTGAAGTCCTTTGTTGTTCCAATTCTACGTGCACTGAACATATAAAGCTGATCAAGAAGGCTTATTCTTTCCAATTTTGGCTACTTGTATTTCAAGCATCTCCTTAAATATAGCTAGCTATGAGACCTAGGATGGTTTTGAGTGGATGTTTTTTTTTCCCCTCCATTTTAGCATTGGATACTATCATGAGCTAAATTTATATTAAAGAATTGGTAGTTTTGGGTCCAAAATATAAAAATACCATATGGAGGTGGAGTGTGATCATAGAAAGGGAAAACATTATGGAGTATACAAACAAATCAAATTAAGTAAACAAACAAATCAATTTTTTTAAAACTGAATTTATGCACAATTTGTATATAGAGAATCTTTTTATATAATACACCTAATATTTTCTTAGTTGATGATTCAAATTATTATTATTATTATTATTATTATTATTATTATTATTATTATTATTATTATTATTATTACTTACAGTGCTTTTTGAAGAAAATGAGAATCAAGAATTCTTATTCTATAGTTTGTCTATAAACTGAATTCAATGCTTTTCCGCGCCAATTTTCTACGCCAATTTTCTAGTGTATTTTCTATGAACTAAAGCACATCAGTATCTGTAAAAAAATTGACCTTTTTTTATTAACCTTTTTTTTATCTGTAAACACAAAACTAATGTGTATTAACCTTTTTTTTTTTTGGAACACCAAACTAATTTCTGCTTAATGTCTTTTTAGTGATAAAAAATTTCTGATTTTGGTGATGAACAGTTGACAGTAAACACATTGAGCAGAATTTTTGTCTCTCATCACTGATTTAAATAGTTGACAATAAACACATTGAGCAGAATTTTTGGTGATTTTGGTAATAAAAAACAGAGCCAAGTGATTTTGGTGATAAAAAACATAGCCTTTGCAACTACAAAAAGCATATACCATGATATATCATCCATAAAAGTAAACCACAAATTTTAAAGAGCTCCATAAAATGTGCAAACAGATTAACAAAAAGAACATTATAGACCTCTTTGCAGGTTCATAAATGTTTTCAACCATAAAAATGTCATACATGATATGACCTAATTAAGTTGAGGCTTACTTGGATATCACCTATAGAGCATATAGGTTGTGAATTTACATAAAACAGCAACACGTATCCACATGCTTCTTAATGGAAACTTGTTGAACCTTGTAACTGATTAATTTATGTCATAATACTATTGGGCATTGTTTGTAATTGGAGGAATGGGATTTGCCACACACACACACACAGAAGAGCATATCACAAATCAAGCATATATGTATTGGTGATCAAAGTTTAAAGATTATTCTTCTAGAACCTTGATATGGGAACAAAGTAATTATTCCTCTGTGCTATCAGAGAAATATGTTATTGCTCTTCTGTGTGTGTGCTATCAGAACCTTGTTTGTAATTGGAGGAATGGGATTTGCCCCACACACACACAGAAGAGCATATCACAAATCAAGCATATATGTATTGGTGATCAAAGTTTGAAGATCATTCTTCTAGAACCTTGATATGGGAACAAAGTAATTATTCCTCTGTGCTATCAGAGAAATATGTTAGTTGCCTAATGTCATACCTTCGTAAGGTAGTGTCTACTCTTCTTCAGTTTTACTCAATAGCAAAAAAATAACAAAAGAAATAACAAAAGAAAAAAATTCACCTGTATATATCAGTTGGCTCAATAACAAAAGAAAAAAAAATAAGAAAAAATAAATGAACAAAACAGTCCCTTTATTTTTGAAAACCATTGATAACATCTTGCCTTTAACAGTCAATTTGCTTTTTATTTTTTATTTTTTTTGAGAACATCTTTTCTTTTTGTTGAGGTAGGAAAATCTATATCAGCAAGACAAAAAAGTGAGTGTGAATATTTACTATGATGTCAGATTGAAATTAGGACATGAAAATGTAGTCTGATAAGGGGAGGGAAAAAGATGTTAAATAAAGAATCAAATCTCTATTACACCCTTTGTTACTTGTCACTAAGTAGATTGATGGTGGAAGGAAATGAAGTTTGTACAAAGTGCTTACAATCCCTCTAGATATAAATGTAGAATATACATCTTTTATCTATATATTTGGGATGATAAAGTAGGAGCTTGAAATGTAGATTTAATGAATTTGGATCCATACCTGTTATATTTGCAACCTATATATATGTTTGCATATAAAATTTACTAAAATTAAAAACCGAAGAAAAAAATGGGAGCCAAACAGGGGTGGTTAATATCAATATGCTTCAAGGATTATATAGAAGCTTAGCTTCAAGGATTATATGCTGTCTTATACCAGTATAGAGAACTAATTATAGAAGTATAGTGGTCTGTTGAATATTTTCTAAACTAACCGAGCAGGATGTCGAGCAGCCGAAGTGATGTCACAGCCGGAGTGAACAACGGTAAGAGTGGTCAGAGTGATCCACAGGAGCTCTGATGAAGGCAAAAGCTGAGAGAGGAAAAAAAAAAATTCAAGAAGAAGTTAATAATACTTTTCCATATATCTATAGATTGGTCTGTGCAGAAGTTAAAAAATTCAAGAAGAAGTTAATAATATTTTATGTTTGAATTCAAGTAAAAGAAAAGAAAAGAAAATAAAAGAAATTCTGCTGGAAAGAAATTCTATAATATTCAAGTTAACTGCTAGAAAGAAGTTAATAATATTCAAGTTAACTGTTGGAAAGAAATTCTTAACTGTGTAAAAGAAAAGAAATATGTTGATTTGCAGAATTTCTTTTGATTTGCAGAAAAGAAATCTGTTGCAAACCGTATAGCTCAATAAAATCTGCAAACACCATAAAATCTGCAAAAATCTGCAAACCGTATAACTCAATAAGCATTCAAGATCCAATAAAATCTGCACACACCATAATAACTCAAATCTGCACACACCATAATAACTCAAAAATAAAATCTGCACACACACTAAAATCTGCACACACCATAATAAAATTTGCACACAATAAAATCTGCACACACGGGTAATCCAAATCCAAACCGTATAACTCAAACCATATCACCCGTATAACTCAAAAACACAAAAATAGAGCAAGGAAGACAGATGGTAGACATAGGGTATGGGGGAGACAGAGAGTAGATACTGATACAAACATAAACAAATCAAATGAACTGTGTTGGGCGGGAACACCCATTGATCTAAACCATCCATATACACTTAGGAACTGTGTTGGGCGGGAACACCCATTGATCTAAATCTCACATTTTCAAAAAACTTTGTGACTTATTATATAGATAAGAACAACACTTTGATGACTACAGAATTTGATGAGTTATTAACACTTTGATGCCTTAAATAAGCTCTGCCTTTCAATGGATAACAAACTAAAAACAGGAAAAAAATAGCAGCCAAAGTGATTAACACAAAAAAAACAGGAATTGTTAACATGAGTTATTAACACTTTCTTTAAAAAAACAGGAAACAGTTGCCAATAAGCAAGATGAACTAACCCAGCCGGAGTGATGAACTAACCCAGCAGCCGATAAACTAACCCAGTGCCAAAGTGAAACAGTTTCCGATAAACTAACCCAGTGCCAAAGTGATGAACTAACCTAGCAGCCGAAGTGATGTTGAGCCGGAGTGAACAACGGTGAGAGTGGAACGGTGTAAGCTCTGATGAAGGCTCTGATGAAGACTGTGATGAAGGCAAAAGCTGAGATTTTAAAAAAAAATCAAGAAGAAGAACGGAGAGGAATAGAGAGATAGAGAGGGTAGGTAGAGAAATAGAGAGGGAAGGTGGGTAGACAGAGGGTAGATAAGGAGGCAAATCATTTGTGATGGGAAGACAGAGGTTAGATACAGAGGTTAGATACTGAGAGAGAAGAGTGGAGAAACAACCATGTTGGGCGGGAAACAGAAATGTGGAGAAACAGAAATATGTAGAATTGATCTCATCCATTGGATAGATATTACAATTGATCTCAGCCATCGGATCAAAATATATCTCACATACATTTGAAGACATTTTCAAAATCCCTCTTGCCTTATTATATAGATTAGGACTAAACAATAATACTAGAGCAAAAATTCTAACATAGAAAAATATTTTTAAAAAAACAACTTATCACTTAGATTCATTATTTATATTTTAAATAAATCTAAATTACACATTATTTTTAATATTATTATTATTATTTTTTTATGTTTGAATTCTCGAACCCTAATTACTCACAACTAAAAAACGACGGAGAACAATTAACCACATTCAATGTGCTGTTCCAGTAAGTCTTGTTCTCTTCATACTTCGAATTCTCATGGAAGAGATCAGTAAGCCCTTCCATGAAATTCAGAATCAATATATTCGCATTCTTCAAAGTCTCTGCAACATAAACATCATCGTTCGAATACGCAACCATGTCATGAACCTCCACTGCGGCACTCTAGATTCTCTCTTTGATCTCCGGCAAATTATTCAATTTGTTCACGAGTTGATCGATTACCGCTAACGAATTGTGAGGAAACGATCCAGTGTTTATGATCGGAAATGGGTTTTCCGCGAAATTCAACGTGGATGTCGGCAACTCAAGGCCGCCGGAGACGGCGTTATCTTTCGGTGACTTTAACCATGTCCCTTTCCAGGCTGTTAGTACGTCAAGACAGACTGGCGGAGATGGAAGTGGTGACGGCGGCGACGGAGCTTTGTTGAGGAGGAGGTGGTGGTGGTGGTGGAGATGGGTTTGGAAAGGGTTGGTGACGTGGAGTTTGGATTCTCGGACGAGTCTGGCTTCGGCTTCGAGCCGGGCACCCTCCCACTGAGCCATGTGGCTGACGTTGGCGGCGTCTTTAAGCTGTCCTGAGTAGAGGGCTTGGCTCTTGGGCTTGTGAGTCACTGGATCAATACCCATTTTGGTTAGTCTTTTTTAGAGGTGTGTTCCAGTAATTTTTGATTTCGTTGTCTGTTCTCCTAGCCAAGTGAGTTGCTGTGGTTGACCATCTGTTCAAATTGTCAATCAATTTAGAAATTATTAGAATGAGGCTACATATATAAATACATTTTTTATTAAAATAATTTATTACTAAATAAAAAATGTCACGACCCAAACCCGCCCCGAGAAAGTTGGCATCGTAACCGGCCAGTAATCCTAGATTACCACAGGCCTTTCTGTACAAAACATACATAATCGGGGCTTGCGGAAGCGAAAACAAAACACTAATAGTCCAGAGAGCTGTGCATTTATATGAACATACATTACATGCCAAAAATGTTAATTTACCCACTACATTACATCACATATAATCAAAAATTCATGTACAAAACATAGGCTCACGCTACATGTACAACCAAAACCAAGCTTCCTAACGGCCTTCGAGGCCTAGCCCCATCTCGGAGGCACCAAAACACTGGGTAGGCTTCAAAACGGCGGCTCGGCTTGGACTCCGCCTAGGCTTGACTCCCAGAGTGCTCACCTATAAATACATATATACAAACAATGAGCTAAAGCTCAGCAAGTAACATTAAAGTAAAGGAGTAGTGAACGAATTCCACATTTCATATATCCATAAAATAAATCATTCATAAACATAATCATCTCATATCAGAACATACATAATGGCATACTCCATAGAACATAACATTTGTCGTCCAACGACTAGAGTAACCGGTCCCGGACACCGATTAAACACATACCGAGATCTCGTAAACTGGTCCACTTAGGACTATCTATGGATGCCATACTAGATTCGCAAACTGGACATTCGTTCACAGAAAACATTTATCATTTCAAAACCATAGCATAACGTAGCACTTTTAAACATAGATCATACAAACATATCTTTACAGAAATGTTACTCACAGTGGGTTTTCAAAACCGATTGCACGGTCTTCGCCTCCTGACCTGCAGTTATTAACATTATAACACATTTCTTCAATACACATTATCATTAAATCACTTAATTCATGCCATTCTATTCTCCCCTTATTAAATTTCATGTTCATGAGGTGCCAAATGATGCCAATAACATGTGCAAATCATGTAATTCAACTTCTCAAAATTTCCTAAAAAAAAGGTCCCCGCTCGAGCGGACAGCAGACTATGATAAAGATACTGGATGTGCGAAATCCCCACTCGAGCGATAAAACCCCCGCTCGAGCAGACAGCGACAATTTGGGTGAAAAACCAGTCCAAAAATCTGCTAAACCGTGAGTCTCCCTTTAGCAAAATCAATTTTCCAAAATCATAAAATTCAAGGCTTAAACACTTGAAGAACAACTTAATTTAAGCTTCAAAACTAAACCCACGTGAATCACATAAGAGATCAAGCTTTGAATTGAAATGAAAATTCATAACTATGCACCCAAAAGCTTCATTTCCCAAATCCATGGAGTTTCCTCCCCAATATGCCAAATATAAACATGAATCATAAATTTATGCCTTGTATGCTCAAATTAAACATAATTTCCCCTTCAATCCATTTACTTGCCATGAGATCAAAGATGATTCAACCTTATTTCAAGAAATTAGAGGGAAATTCTTACCTTAATCACTGAATTGTAGAAGATTTAGCTTGATTCTCTTTTTTCCTCCTCTTCTTCCCCTTTCTCACGAATTCCCTCTCTCTCTTCTTTCCAGATTTTTTCTTCTCTTTTGTTTTTGAGTCAAACATAGGTCAACATCCTTATCTTAAGTCATATTTAAAAGATTGTGCCATAAACTCAAGCCAAACGGGGCTTAACGAATCAGACGAAATTCAGTCCTCAATTTATCATCCCAACGGGTTCTAAAAATTCCCGGTATCACATAGGCGTGTTCAATTTCGTTTTCCGAACCCATTATGGCCGTCAATTTCAGTCCCGAAGTTGTAGTCTCAACAGATATATATATATATTTTTTTCCAATTCAAACAGATATTCTTCAATTAATTTCATATGAACACATAATGAATTACGGATATTTGTGACATGCGTTTCGGGGTCATTACAAAAAAGCAGTGTGTTTCAAAAAAAATAAAAAAGAAGTGGTGTCCACATTTACGTTCCATCAGTTGAAAATATTTTTTTAATAAAAATTTAGTAAGAAAATAATTTTCTGTGGAGAAATGGTTTGGAAATACTCTTTTGATTCTGGGGGACGTTCGTGATCCGCTGATAGTCACCTGAAAAGGAATAAACACTCAGGTCGGGGGTGCCGGAATTAGCACTCCGGCGGACAAGTCAGTCTCAACACTCAAGGTTACTTATATTCTAAATCAAGCACAACAATTCTCACATACCTTTCTTAGTCTATTGTTCCTTTATTTATACTCGTTTCTTGGGCCTCGAGGCCAAGTCCACTTTTTACTCATTATCTTTTTATTTACTTGGCTCCATAGTTCGGTATTTACTCGGCTTATCTACTTTACTCGACTTCTTGATCGTGCAGGAAAGAGCCGAGTAATATCTGTCTTCTAGAGTACTCTTCTGATTCTTCCAATTATCTGGCCCCCACAATTGCCCCCCAAACACTCCTACTAGCACCAGTTAGTCGGTGTGTTTGGCTTCTAGTTTGGGAAGTCAAAAATTCGACGGTTAATCCTCTCCCCGATACGTGTCAGAATGCGTACATGCTTTTTGATCATTATAACGCTTTTCCGCCTCATTCGTGCTTCTTTCGCATTTATCACGATTTGAAACGTCAGTCCCTTCAAATGTACGCTTTTTCGAATATTTGAGCCCCCTAGACTGCCAGTCGGTATCTCTTCTCTGACTCACATTTTCTGCAACTCCTCTCCGTCTCTTTTTGTCTCCTTTGCTTTTCGTAAGTTTTCTTCTCTTTTCTTTGTAATCCTACTTTCCGTATTTATTTTTAATTTAGAATATCCTTGGGTCCTTACGAGAATGGCTAAACATTAGAAAGACCTCTTTTTCGAGGGTCAAATTTCTGGGTTCCGACGACATTTCTCTATCCCTGACGATGTCCATCTATCTCTAGTAACGGACAATACCCTTGATATGGAGAGAGAAGACCAAAATACCATCATTTTTCCTCTCATTTCCATTGCGGTGGGTGGGGTTCGTTTTTTCCTTCACCTATTTCTTAGGGCCGTCCTCTGCCATTGGTGTATGATTCCTTCCCAACCCAATGTGAACTTCTTTCGAATCATAATGGGAATCGTAGTGTTGAACCAGCGCCTTAGGATCAACCTTGGCATTTCAGCGATTCGACACTGCTACGCTTTAGCCAAATCCTCCGGTTGGCTCGGGCGCTATTTTCTCAGGGCCAAGGACACCGACCATCACTTGGTTACTATGCTTGCCAGCTCTGGCAAACGAGTTGATGATGTAATGGTCAATGTCCGTGGCAACTGGGAATTCGGCAAGGGCGAAGATCGCCTAGACCCTATTCCCAGAAAGAGGGGCGAACCAGGTTGCCGTGTAACCCCTTGTGTTTATTGATCTTTCTTTTATTCGGCTTTTTCTTCAAGTATAATTCTTTGTTTTTGCAGGCAATAAGTTGAAGACGATTTTGACCTCGGCTGACGACGCAGTCTTTGCGGAAATTAGGACTGCACTAAAGTATTTTGGCCGTCTAAACGTACAGAATCAAGGAAGATCCGCCCATATACTCTTGCGGTACGAGCCTACTTATACTACGTTCTCGGCTGCGGACAACATTCCGATCCTGACCGGCGAACATCACCTTACGGCTCTAATCTTCCCCAACTTCAAGACCCTTAGGCAAATTGGTCTTGAAGCTTCTGATTCGGAACAAAACGTAACGCCGGTGGTCGAGGTAGTTGCCGAACCAACGAGAGAGTTTGCTGCGGAGGCCGAAGAGGTTGACGAAGCTCTAAACTCAGCGTTCGAGGCAGCCGGTCTTAACCAGCCTAACTCGCCGTCCACTTCGGGTCGGGCGAAATTTTCTTTCGGAGATATTTTTAAAAATTTGAAAGACCTACCTGGCTCTTTTTCTGAAGGTATGGCCGGGGAAAATCTTATGCAGATGGCGTGAAAGAGAAATGCCGAACGAATGGCCGCCTGAAAGAAAGCCGAGGTCGCCCGTTCCGAACCGGCCCCGATTGAGTCTTCACAAACCGTTATTGGAGGAGAGATGGCTCAAGTTATTGTGGCCGAGACGGAGAAGGAAGTCGACCAGCAGTTTACAGAAGAACGGCTGATTCCAGAAGGGCGGGCTGAAAAACGTACTGCCGAGGGAAAAGTTAGCTCGGAGGATAGCCCTGCTGGCAAACAGCCTCGATTAGAGGAATCGGACGTGGTTCCTTTCGTTGTTCAGCCAAGGATCAAAAACACGCCGATCTCTAACGCATCCGCCATGAAGGATCCAGCCATAGCATTGAGCTTGGCCACCTAAGTTTCGTTGTCGGCTGACAAGACCACATTTTGAGGAGAGTCGGATTTGGTAGCTATAGCGTTAGTTGCCCAGTCGACCCTTCTAGTATGTGACTTTTTCTTGTTTGGTTTGGTTTTCATACCATATTTCTTGGTATGTGCTGATCCCAACTCCTTGTTTTGCAAACGGTTGGAAGGATAGTCGAACTAGGCCGTCGGCATCACGATGCCATTGAAAGAATTGACAGATTGAAGTCTGAAGCTGAATGTGAGAGAAGTAGGGCCGAGTTTGAGACGATGAGGGCCGCAATGGAAAGTGCTCGAGTCGAAGCTGAGAAGGAGAGGGCTCGGACTGCTGACCAATTCAGATCCGAAGCCGAGGGTAGAGCGAACGTGAGCGAGGAATCGTTCAAGTTAGTCAAGGAGGCGCTTGCCAAGGTGGAGGCCGAGTTAGAAGTGTTGAAGAAGGCCAAAGAAAGAGCCGACTCTGAGGCTTCTGTAGCGTTCGAGGCTGGAAAGAGCGCCGCCTTTAAAGATTACGTAGAAGAAGTCCCCAAATTCGAGAATGGGGATTCAAAC